TTTTGTAAAAACTGTACTATTTATGATAGGAAAGGAAGGATTTCGCACAAAAACATTAGAAAATCGGTTATATTTCCTTAATTATTAATTAATATTTATGAAAATTTCGATAATTTTGGAATATATTAATTAATTAGTACATGGCCTTCTAATAGAGCGTTTGAACTTTTGCTCGGACATGGCCTTATACAGGGGGTGGCCTTCTAATATAGGGTGGCCGTCTATTTTGGGGGGGGGGGGGGGGTTTACTCCATATTTGTTAATCGTGTGATTGTTTTATATAGTTTTACTGTTTCAAGAAATGGAATTCAACAATTGCCATGGATAAGTTTGACAATAAGTGTCATTCTCTTTTGTTTGTACCCAGTAATCGAACTATATTTTGAAAAACTTCTTTCTTTGTTTACATAGTTCTGCTGAGAAGTGCATGGGAAAAGTGAGCGTGAGTTCATGCTCACCGACATCCATACTCGCAAACTATTTTCAAAATCAATTCAACCAGATTCAGATTTAAAAGATCGAGCAAATTTCATTATGAATGCCGATGAATTTATTCTCTCAATAATCTGCTGACTTTGACACAGAGAAACGTCTAGTGAAGATTTCGAATTAGAGTCAATCGAAACGATAGTCAGAGGCTTGACTCGTATGTTAGATCTGTGCAAAAAATTGAGAACTGCATTCATATGATCATATTCACACAGATGCTCGTGTACAGTTAGTAATAATACGCTTTTTCTTGTGGAGTTTGCCGAATAGTATTGTTTATCTTGAATAAGGTTTTAGGTTTTGGATAGATTTGAAATCGTAAAGTGTGAACATGACAATTTCTCCTTTGCAATGTGGTCTGTCGATCTTCGCTTACAGATCATGACAGACAACTCGATCTAGCAAGAAGACAATGTAGTTTCACATATTTGGATTGTATGTGTAGCATGCATGTCAAAGTACTAAAAAAAAGAGGAACAACTATATGAATAAATGTAAAAAAAAGAATTAAGTTTTTTTCTCGTATTTAGTTTTATTTAATTTTAGTTTTTTAATCGAAAAATAGACTGATCTGTCTCTCCTAGAAGAAGACAAATTCAATCTGTAATCTCAACTCTTGCCTTGTGACAATTGGATATGAGTCTCGGTCTTCACCTCAACCAAACTCACACTCACCCATACTCTAATTTCAATCGCTATTTCATAGGTGAAATAGTCTCATTACATAAATTCTTCGCAAAATCGAAGAAAGAAATAGCCCAAATGTTCCGAAACTTAAGACAGAATTATTCTACAAACTTCCGCAACATGGAGAAAATAGAACTCCGATATTTTACCCAACACAAGAAAAAGTATAGCCTAGAGCTTTATAAATCGAAAAAAGATATAGCCTAAATTTCCTCAAAATCGCAGAAAGTTGATCAGAGACTTTTCAAACCAGGAGAGAGTTATCCTCTTTCAATTCCTCGCCCTCTCTGCTGGTTGTGTCACCGCTAATTTTGGTAAATTGACAACAGAAATCTTATTAACTTGAGTCTGTATTTTCTTTTTTATAATTATCAATAAAATCTAAGACATAGACCCGTCACAAAAAGGCAACCACAATGTTTAAATACGATGCGGATCGCTAACAATGTAACTATTATTGATGATGCAATCGAAATATACATTCGATTTTCTCTATTGAATTTCACGATATTATCTTCGAATTTTCAAATGATATTCCATACTGATGAATTCATTTTGATAATAAAAGATCTTTGCTTATTCCCTAGACTGAAAGTATAGGGTCTAGAAACGGAAATTCGCCTGTGTCTGTCTGTCTGTCTGTCTGTCTGTAACACGTATGGTTACCATATGGTAACTATGTGATCGTTAAAATAAAAATAAATATATATTTCGAATGGCGCGCAAAGCCAATAAAATAAGATTTTCTTTCTATTCCCAAGACTGAAAGGCTAGCGTCTAGAAATCGAAATTCACCGGTGTCTGTCTGTCTGTCGGTAACGCAGTCAAAATGGTCATTTTTTTGGCACACGTGACCATTTTTATGGCATAAACGACCACTTTTTTGGCACAAGTGACCATTTTCGTGCCACAAATGGCCATTTTTTTGGCACACGTGACCATTTTTTTGGCACAAATGGCCATTTTTTTACTAAAATTAACTAGGTAACTATGGTACAAATGAGCATGTAACTATGGCACAAACGGTCATTTTTTTGGTAGAAACGACCACATAACTATGGCACAAGTGACCATATAGCAATCATGGTACAAACAACTATTCCGGTAACTATGGTACAAATGACCATCTAAAGACTGATGTAAATGAACCCATAATAATCATGGGTAAAATGTCAATGGAATAACTATAATTTGGGTAGTAATGTAAAACGGCTTACTTACACAAGCATTTAATTAGTGAGAGTCAGACCAAATGAGCAGTATGGATTTAAAGAAATCGTTTAAATTATTCATTATTGTAAGATTGATTGTGCAATGTTGTATCAATGAATATCTAATTTATTAATAGTTTAGAATTAATGCGTGAATTTAAGCATAAAATATTGATTAATAAAACTCAAATTTTATGAATAATATAATTCATATTTTTGTACGTACAAATAGCGCCAATATAATTATAAAAAAATCGTATTGTTGTCTAATCTTATTGGGCGCTATTTATATTCATAAAAGCAAAAAAAAATAAAACAAAAATGATAAAAAAAAATTAAATTTGTAAATGCATCATCTTTACTTAGAGTGAGAATTCTCCAAATTAAGTTTTCTGGTCGCCTAAGGTATACTGGTCATATTATCAATGTTGCGTATTACTTTTTTAATGTAGCTTTTTATGCTGTTCCATCCGTACATGTATTCTATCAGTCTAGGGCTAAGTGAATCGCTTGACGATGAACGTTACTTGTTTGTTTATAAAACTGAAATAACTTAAAAAAATGCGAATATATCTCGATTTAGAAGTTTTAGATAAATAATCATTTTTGCGTTCTCTCCTTTTTTTCTAATGATTTATTCAATATGTCATTTTGCTATTCTGTTTTTTTGATATGATACGTGGCCTTCGGTGCTGATTCATTCTGTTTATCAGCATTACCTTATACGCCACGACAATAATAACTACGAACAAATAAATAGCTACCACGTTTTCAAGCCTGTTCTTTATTATTATTGCAGAAATAAATATTGAAGTAAAACGCATAGGCAGAGACAATATTGACAACAAATACATCACCATCTACCACAATCGTTCACATTAATATCAAACAAGAATGTCCAGTTCAATATGTAACTATGTACAATGATCGTGCAGAACTAACACGTCTTCTTCGATATCATTTTGATAATGAAGGTACTTATGATCTTGTTCTTCAAGGTTTATCACCTTGTGCCGATCTAACTTCATTTCATGTTAGCGGTGGAACAGGCAAAACATGTCCTATTCTTGAAGTTTACTATCAAACACGTTATGAAGATCCATCGGTATCATTGTCCGACACAACACCACTCGATCAATTGCAAACACAATTAGATGTTGTTCAAGGAGATATCGATGAACATACTCAAGAATTTGATCGACTTAAAAAACAACGAACATGGCTCGATGGAAGAGCATCAAAACTAATGAATCAAGAAGGACCTTTGAGTACAAGGGACCTTGAAACAATGGAACAATTTCTTAACTTTTATCACAAAATGCTCAGTAAAATAGATAACGAAACAAGTAACTATTACTGTTCATGTAGCTAGTAATAAAACTGATGTTACCTTGGAAGTATCCTATTTAATCAGCAGTTGTTCATGGAGTGCAAGCTATGATATACGGGTTGATAGTGGAGAAGGAAGACAACCAAAAACTCAACTTACTTATTACGGTATCATTGTAAGTATTGTTTTATTACACAAGGATCTTTTTCAATTAGTAATATATATATATACATTTTTCCAGGAGTTTTACATTATCTAAATCTTTAAAATTTCCAAATGAATCTATCTTTATATTTTTATTAATTGTTCTCTATTAGTTTCAATGTTGGCAATTTTGAAGTCATTTATGAGTACAACAATATCATGGAATTGAATGAGAATTATCTTATTTCTCTTTGATTTATCTTACCTAGAATTTAATTAGATTAGAGTTATATATCTACACAGTTTCAAGTTCGACACCTTTTGACTAAAACATAGAAAGGTTCAGTATGACTTCTTTTATTTAGAGTAGTTCTAGTTCTTATCATAGGTATAGTGCTGGAAAAGATGTTTTCCTATTCAAACGAATTCTACAAGAAAATAGATAATTCAATATGATTTATTCACGTTTTGAATTTTTTTATGGAAGACTACAGTTATGTTACTCTTTTGTAAAATGCTTAGTTCAGTATCATTTACAGATATTTTAACCAATTTTTAGATCAAATCCATAGAATACTAGTCTATGGTGACTGATTTTGTCAAAAGGCTTACTAAAAGGACACAGCAATCGAAATAAAATGCAAATCGACAAAATTCAGTTGTTTCTTAGAAGAAAAAAAATAGTCGAATTTAATGGGTTTTTTTCTTCATATCAAATATATCAATCTATTGTTCAGTTTAAAAGTCGTTTTTTGAAATAATATGATTTTTTTGTTTATTTTGTTGATCAGCTATTTTTTTAATTTTTGTTATAAAACAAATTGATCGGTTATTTTATCCGTTGTTTTATATTAGGAATCAATAATGAGAAAATTAACTCTAAAAAACTCATACCTATTATCATTAAATCTTTTCATGTATTTTGGTATTTTGTATGTTATATGTAGATCAATAAAAGTCAAGAGAATTGGTCTGATACACAATTCTCATTGTCTACAGCAACTCCATCTCTAGGTGGTGCTGCTCCCAAATTGGCCACACTTAAAGTCAACAGTCATCAGTATCATGGTGTTCTACAACGTTTCATGAGCTCAGCTACACAGGGTATGTTGTCGATGGGTGGATCAATGAGCAGAGTATCAAAAGATTTATCGTATGTACGCGAACGAAGATCCCTAACTAGTTCTGCTGATTTTTACAACGATGATGAAGATACATCACAAAATATTGTCAACGTATTAGGATCAAAAGCTGAAATGAGTTTTTCCATCACTAGTTTCACGATTCCTCGTCGATCGACTATCGATGCTGATGTACGTCTCAATTTGATCTAATAAATCTTTGCCAATTTCAACATTTCTCTCTGTAAAAAGGGTAAACCACACAAGTTAACCATCGGTGTGCTCGATCTCGTTTCGACTTTTAGCTATACAATTGTGCCTAAACTATCATTACATGCCTATTTGAAAGCGTCAACTTTGAATACATCTGACAAATATCTTTTAGCTGGTCCTGCATCTATTTTCATGAATAACAATTTTGTTACACATAGCTCAATCGATAATATGTGTATAGGTGATACATTTGATCTATCATTGGGTATCGATTCTGGTATCAAAATTGAATATAAGCCAGTAAAGAAAACAAGCGATACTCAAGGTATTATTTCCAAAATTCATCTCAAAACTGTTCGTCATGAAACCCATATTACGAATAGTCAGATCAATGAAGTAGTTGTTTTTGTTTATGACCAACTTCCATTATCATCCGATGAAAAGATCAAAGTCAATTTGATTCACCCAGATTTACGACGAAAAGATAATAACCCACACAATACCATAACATTAAAGAATACCAATAATTTAGAATGGAAATGTTTACTACCATCAAGAGGCGAATGTCGACGTCCATTCGAATACACAGTCGAATGGCCATATGACAAACAAGTTGAATTTCAAGAAGAACTACAATTTTTCTCTGATATTTATTCTTAATTATTTTGTCTGTGATTTAATTAAGAAAATAAATACATTTGACATGAAATCAAAACAAATTTTGACTGATACGATGTCTTTTATCGAGCAATATTATCATTGTTTGCTGCACCTTTCAAGCAATTAGAACTCCTGAATAGTCTATTTCAAGTGTTTTCCTCCTTCAAAAGGGTCAGGGTGTAGGTGTGGGTGTGAATGTAGGTGTCAATGATAACAGTAACACCCACATCCACACCCACACCCTTTTCCCCACCACTCAGATGGGCGTTCGAAAATGACGCCACCTGATCTCAGCGACTTTTCCACTCTTTCATTCTCCATGCCGTCTCTTCTCGCTGAAAGTCTCTGATATCCGATGACAATGCATCAAATGCGTTGTCTTTTCGAAATTCTCTTTTTCACATGGAAAACAGAGTGATTCCAGAACAGCTCCTTATTGTGAAGATGCACACAATCATACACTTGAAAAGAAAGAACGACAGAAAAGTGAACCATAGTGAGTTATGGTTCCGGCTGCGTAGCCAGGGGTAGAACCTTTGGGCAATTGCCAAAGTACACTTTTGAGATAGTACTAATTGCCCAATGACAAGAAGGTTCTATCAACATGTAAGTTTGCAGATTTTTGTGATGAAATTTTAATCGATTATCTCTTGTTGTAGTCTGACCAACTGATCTAAAAAGATCGTTCGACGATCTTTTTCATTAAACGATGATCATAATAATGACATATCAATGATATTTTAGTGAAAGCACTGATTCTTATACTAAAATGCATTTTTAAAAGAACGTGGATGAGTGCTTAGCGATCTTTCAAAGCATATCAAACTATATCGAATGGCAACGGGTGCAGTACTTTAAACTAAACATTTTAGGGATATAAGTGATGATATGAATATCACAACATAGAAATATAAAAATCCAGTGAACTCTATAGAAATTCTGAACGAAAATCGATCGAAAGAACGAATGAAAGTGCTTTGAAAACACAAGTTAGCGATTGTCAACAGTAGCAGATCAAACGGTGATTCGTGATTTGAAGGATTCATAAATAACTAAATATTAGAGCTATAAAAGGATGTGGGTGTGGCTATTGTCATCTATATCCACCCAAACCCACACACCCACACCCTAAATACTTGATGTAGGAAATGTCGCGTTCGTGGACAAGCCGCTTAAAAGAGTTTAGCTGGGAAATTGCTTAATACTCAAAAATTTCTAGCTACTCCACTGACGTGTATATTATTTTTTTAATCGATGTTAATCGGTAAAATTTTTCACTGGAAATCCTAGATTTACCTGAGTCAAGTAACAAAAATTCCAAAATTTTAATATACAATATTAGTTCAATATGTACTTTCAATAAATAATTCTGGTTTAGAATGACAAAAAACAATGATAAAGTCATGAGCCATGATGATCATCAGTCAATTTGATCCGTTTGTTACAAACTTTCACATCATTTGACTGGAAATTGTTGTTCTTTTTAAACCAAACGTGCAATGAAAAACGATCTATTTGATACGACATATTTTGTTTATTTGTTTTAAACCATTCGTGAAAATGACTCCAACATGGTGTCTCATTGAAGGTGAATTTCGCACTTGATAAATGTCCAAGTCGTTCAAGAACAATTATGACTTCATTCAAATTTTTAATTGACACTGCTAATTGTCGAACATGAATGGGTATCATCGAACAAATATGATCCGCAGTTAAACAAGATTTCTGATTCAATAACAAGCCACGTATATTGAGTGAATAAACATTGCATGTTTGTTGCAGCAAACTTTTGATATCGGCCACTATGCCAGGATCGCCGTTATGAATGATTGATCCTGCCAATCCGATGTAAATGATTGTCGTCAGATTGATAAACGTTGAAATAAACAGAATCCAACTTACAGGTCGAGTAGAATTAAATATAAGTCCGAGCTTCTTCACTGTGCGAAATAGAGAATGATTGGTTGTTTCGCACTTCTCATTCATTGATACATTTTGTTCAATGTCATTGGGCGTCAGTTTAGTAAAATTGAATGTAATCCTGTCACCATTGACCATGATGGATGTATCATTGTCCATTGCCGTGATAAGAGTCGAAATTGAAATTTTTGTTGATTCAAATTTTGGCTTGAGAGAAGGTATGCATATTGGTATCGAATACAATTGGATCAATTCTGGCGAATTAATATTGTATTCACAAGTGACAAACCAATTTTTCAGTTTGAGCCAGAATGTCGTTCGAAATGATTCAATGATCCATTCGATATTTGGAGGATTTGGTTGATCAGCCCGGTTTTCATTGAAAAAAAACTCGAATTTGTTCAATAAAGGTAGATTTATTTGAATGAACTGTTCCCACCGATGACCATTCAAAAAATTTCCATTGCCAATCAATTTCAAACGAGTTAATGAAGGCATTAATCGAAGAAGAAATTCGACATCGTCGACTTTCATGTTCAGATTTTTAAGTACAAATGAAGTCAATTGTTCAAAAGGTAATAAATCAGTTTTGTGAATATTTTCTATGGAACAAGAACCAATAATAAATGTTCTTAATCGAGGAATGCGCCTAATTCTGTTGATCTGATTGAAATTTATGCACCCGCCAATTTCCAAATATTCAATTTCATTAGGCCAACCGATATTTTCTATCCGATCCAGTTCAATATTCAGTATCAGTTTGCGAAGCTTCGATCGTATAATAATTGAGCTTAGGTATATCTCTGTCATAGATTGGCTCCGATTGTTAGATTCTTTTATGTCAATAGATAGTGAAATGAGAGAACAAATGTTAACATGTTTGAGAATATCTCTCAACTGACTTTCTTTGATTGCAATTAACGTCAGACTATGAACTTGAATGAATTGTTTCACATGGAACAGCGAATTAAATAATCTTATTTGATCACATCTTTCAGCTGAGTGAGAGAGTGTTAGTGATTGAACTCTACAAGGATCAATTAAATGACAAATAAGTCGAAGATTGGATTTTGTAATCAGTTTGAAATCGATTATGTATCGATCATAGTTTTTGACAACTGCTCTTAATCGTCGACACGTATTGCGCAGTGATAATACTATTGTCTGTGTATCGAGACAATCAAAAATATGGTGTAGAATTTCGACCGGTAATGTCTGAAGAAAAGCATACTGGTTGTTGGACATTGATACTTACATTAAAAGTTTTCAATGAATATTCACCAGGTATGGATGTTAATATATAAGGTTGAGTTAACAACAGATGCCTATATATATATTTCAACCGAAAGAAAAACAAGTTACATTTTTTTCTTCGTTGCGTAACTAGGAAAATGAAGAACGAGAAAAAAAACGTTGTGCTTCTTCTCATAACATCTTGAGAGAAAAAAACAACCATTTATCGTAGGTAACGTACAGTGAATCATTTAGCCTTCTCATGTCGTGAAAATCGTATGGCAATTTTGAAACATACTGACGTAAACTCGTGATTAATCGTACTTTGCAGGAAAATCAATGATTAAATCAGAGGGTGTGGGTGTGGGTGAGAATTCCAGTGCAAAGTGCATCCTCACACCCACACCCATACTCATCCTTCCCTTGACAAAAAAAAATCAAACTCAAAATTTTGAGAAACCGATTGCAGATTCGAATTCCTCAACGTTGATTACCGTTGGTCAAACTTTATAAAAAAATCGTCATTTTTGTGTACTCAAAAAGTAAGTACACTCTAGAATCAGTCCGTGTGTCCGTCCGTCCGTTTACACGATAACTTTTGAAAGAAGAGTTCGATCACGATGCAATTTTCTACACAGTTTCGTCTCATCAATATCTCGGTCGAGTTCGAAGATGATAATGATTCGTCGAGTCAATTGCTGAGTTATCGCAAAAAGAGTCATTACTCTCTATGCTTTTCTATGCGAACATTGAGCTATGCCGGTTTTCATAAAAAACTTTTTCTCTCATAATCAAACAAAACCCCAACTATTATATACCATTCGATAGAAAATTTCATGGACTATAAAATGGTGTATAAGACATTAAGAAACAAGACGGCTAAGTAATCTATTGCAAAGATACTTAAGTGGAAATCAATTCTGTTTTTGTCCACGCTCCAATTGATCGAAGAGTAAAGCTTCATCTTCCGATCACATAAATGATACTTCGAGGTTTTCTAGGGCGGAGAACTCGAATCTGAGCTCCACTTGCCTCGAAATCCTATTGGATGAGTAGTAACCAATAGAAATCAAGTTTTAGGAAAAACGACTTTCTGAGGGTAATTCAAGGCGAAGAGTTTAAATCGGAACTATATTTGCTCCAAAACTCTGTTCGTTGAGCAGTAACGAATACAAATCAAGTTTTAA